CTTGCACTAAGATTCAGGACTATAAGTGGCAGGTTATCATCCTGTTTCCTCTGTTTCTCACTGATGGGCAAGCACTGTTTGCTGAAAAGGTATCTGTTACGAATCTATCAGGTTGAGGCAGTGAAATTTTTGAAAATCTACCTTTATAGAAAATATTTAACACTTTAAGCTAGCTAGCCTGATAGTTGAGTAAAATAATTTGTCGCTGGCTTGACACTTTCTTTCTCTTCCAGTGTATTATGAAACGGAGGTGACTAAAAACTTACACAATTATGGGTTCTAGTTTTTGTTTTCCTTCAACATGTTAGATAGTTAAACGTTCTACCAATATGAGATTGATTTATCTAGTTAATTTCTATGGGCCCTATCACAGTTGTACCTGAAATCTTAACTTAGTAGGTGTAAATAAGTATTGCTTCACATGAGCTCTGGTCCTAAATGTGTGTATTCACAATTGGAGCTGGTTCAGAGTGTGTGTGTGTGTGTTCTACAAAAACTTTCTCAAAAATGTCACCCTATTTTTTCTTACATATTTCTGACCAGCTCTGTTGCTGAACAAAATACAAGATATAAGTTTTGCAAAAAAAATGCTTGAAATTCTGGATCTGTTTTTTAAATCAAAAGTTGCGATTTTGATAAAAATTGCATTTTGAAAATTGTCCCCAATCCCTACTCATAGCATCCGTATTTGGTAAGGAGTTACTATTATCCCAATCAGGGATATGTTTTTTGCTGCCCCAAGCAGGCAGTCAGGCGGCCTTTGGCGGCATGCCTGTGGGTGGTCCGCGGACATGCAGATTCTGCGGCGTTTCTGCGAGTGATCTGCCGGTCCCGCGCCTTTGGTGTACCCGCCACCAAATTGCTGCCGAAACCGCGGGACCGGCGGACCTCCCGCAGGCACGCCACCGAAGGTCGCCTGACTGCTTCCGTCCCAGCAACCTGCAGGCTGCCCCCCGGAGCTTGCTGCCCCAGGCTCGCGCTTGCTGCGCTGGTGTCTGGAGCCACCCCTGAACCCAATAATAATGATAAATGGGGCATTTCAGTGCAAAGACACAAGGAGATTAAGTACCTTGCCCAAAGTCCCATGAGAAATCTGTGGCAGAGGTGGGACATGAACCCAGGTCTCCTGAGTCCCACTCCAAGACCATCCTTCCTCCTTGAACATGCTTTTAAAATATATTTAAAGCAACACATTTGCAATGAACCTATGCGTAGCATTATTGGAAGGATCAGTAAGCACAGGGCATCTATCATTAGCAGACACTCTGATATCATGGTGGGAGGTGTGATTAAAAACTACTAGGTACATGAGAGTTGCTGGGGAATTTTGTAAGAACCTAAACGCTGCGGCAGGGGTGAACGTGATGTCTTCCTTGGAGTCTCTCCTTTTGAAACTCAGATGCTCATGCTGTTCTTAAAGCTTTTCTTGAGGCAATAATAAGGGTGTGTGATAAATGGGGGTTGGGAATGGGAAGCTTAAAAACTGATTGTAGCCTCTGATGAAAAAAAGGAATAAACCAAGGGAACTGATGGGGTTTTGTGGCGCCTGCAAAATCTTGCACTTGGTTTTGTAGCATCACAATTCATTTTTTTGTTTGCTTATATTTTTTGTAGTGACATACTGTAGCATACCGCAAAGGTTATAACTAGGCTTAAGAGGACACAGGGAGCTTACACAACTTTCAGTCCCTCCATCAGAGCACTCAAAAGATCTGTTTTTCAGGCAGGCTGCACAAAAATATTGCATGGGTCATGTTTTATATTATATTTATAATATATTCATATATAAATGGTTTATAACGGTTAAATGAGTCGTAAGTGTTATCAGACAATTATAGACCTAAGCAGTATGTATTATAGATTATTAGCACATCAGCAGAATGTGTTTATAAATGCTTGTGACCTTAATCTATATAAAGAAATAAATCTCCCCCCCCCAAAAAGGCAAAGAATCAGTTCAGACTTGTTGTCTTTTACCAACTCTTATGTACATATGATAGTTCACAATGATTCAAAAGAGACAGAATAGCAAATGGGCTTTTTGCTACCATCACACTGTAACTTTTAGAAGTAGCCAAGACCTCATTAAGGCAGTGCATTTCTCAGCTAGTGCAGGATTGTTTTGAACAATGTATTTTCCTAGCTTTGTCCTGTCCAACTTTTAATGACTCGAGCTGGGGTTTTCACCATTTCCTCTGGGTGACTCTTCCATAACTTTAAAATAGAAAATCCAGTGATATAAAATACAAAAAGAAGGACTACTTTTCGGCAACCCAACAGTGAATATTTTGATCTTTTTACTCATGTATGGTCTGCAGTTAGTAGGGACAGGGTGTACAGGAAATGATTTATGTGCCAGAAATACAGTACAGATAGGCAAGAGCATTAGCTCAAGACTTCAGAAGGAAGAACAAGCAAATACAAAACTTCAGACTGTCAGAAGACGTGTGCCAAAATAATAATAATTTAAAAAAATCAGTGACATTTAAAAAAACAATTTGTGACATGTGGATGTGGCTTTGGCACAATATATTGCTGTTGTCAGATGCTACCGGTGTGGTGCTCTGCTTTCTCCTATGTTGATATTACTCGGCTGCGTGCGTGTGTTCCCTCTGTGTGCGGTCCCAGCTCTGCAGATAGCTGACACAGCAAACCGACGAGAACCCCCAATAACCACAGAGTCTAGTAAGGTACGAAGGCACCTCGGCCAGGTTTATTGTGACCCTGACACAATTGCAGTTCCCTGTAGGTTTCTTAGCGTAAGTCAGGGCATACTACGAGAAAGTGCCGCTCGGCAATGGATTCAGCTTAGTCAGTGGCGGGACTTTCCACTGCCCCCTCGGCTGGACAAAGATACCGCCTCAGGGATACATTCTTATACAGAGGTACAAACAAGTTATACATCACTCCTGACGTATTGAGATGCAACCCCTCTACGCAGCAAGGTACAACCCCTCTACGTAGTAAGGTGCCGCCTCTCACCTTGTACACGTTGGTTCGATCAAAACAACTCTATCCATCATTTTACCCTTTTGCCCCTGTCATTGGGATGGGTCGGCCTGTTCCATGTTATCTGTGGAATGTTCCAGTATAGTGTATGTTCTGATATCTGGTGTCCAGTACCTTTTAGGTATGTCTCTTTTTGCAGCATCAGCCCTTTCCTTGCCAGCTTCTGTGAGCAAGGTCTGCCTCTGGCTCACGGCGTAACTTTGCTTTGTTAGCAAAGTCATGACGATTACTTTAGTTCAGGCCTTAGGCCTCACACCGGGCCTCTGATACCAAGGTTTATATCTCAGGGCCTCCTCTTACTACAATTGCCAGCTGGGAGAGACTTAGGCTTCAGTGCCTCCATCAGCCAAACAGATACATCTCTGTAGACAGAGGGTGGATAATGACCAGCCAGCTCCTATGTTGGACCTTTGGTACGCTGTCTTCCGCTATAAAGAAAACTGCTCCTTCACCTGACATAAATATATGAAAACCAACACATAATTTCAGCAATATCTCTCTTCTCACTGTTTTTTTCCAAAATAAAGTTGATACAGATGAATTAGTTAATCAATGGTACTTATTGCTTTTGTAAAATTCTGGGCCCATTCTTTTGAAATCTATCGCTTCTCAGTAGAGGAACTTGACATGCTGGTCTGGTTCTTTGTGTGACACCCCATAGTCTTTGTATGTACACACACATGCATTGTTGGTCTTGGACATTGTTGTTGTTTCAAGAATATTGCAGCTGGAACTAAGACACAAATTGAAATACCCAGTAATGGAAATAATAGAATTGTATGTAGATAGGAAGAAAAAATAAACAAACCGTAAGATGGAATGAGTTTTAAATATAAACTAGGAAATAACTGTGGCCAGCTTTTAACATTTCATGCAAGTGTTTGAGTTTCAACTGTGTTGAATCTAAGCCCAGTAAATAGAATAATTCAAAGCTATTGTGAAAGGGAAATGACTAAATTTGGTTTATTGTATTTCTCTTGAAATATCATTTGATTGGAAAAAATGACAGTTTAGTAACAAAGTTGCTTATTTTGGACAACTATTACCCCATTAACTCCACAAAGCTCACAAATGTTTTCTTTCCTTGGATACTTCAGATTTTAATGTTATTGTAAATAATCATTACAATTTTAGTTATGACCATGGCATGAATATACTCATTTGTTTCTTGTTCTTACATTTCTATGGTGCTCATCACTGTAATATCAACGTTGGGCCAGAGCTGGGTGAAATTCTTCTGACAAATAGCTTATTTGCCAAAAAATCCATTTTTTGGTCAACACAAAATTATTCACAGATTTGACACGAATTCGTTAAATAGTTTTAGCCCCAAATTTTGGGGGGACTTGGATGGCGTGTGGCGAACTAAACAGGGTTGTGTGGGTTTTTTTTTTTTTAATTCAGTAATTTTGTTTTTCGAATGTTGGATTCAGTTGGACCTGACTTTTTTTTTTTTTTAATTCAGAACTGCCTATTAACCAACCCCCCCCCCAGCAATATTCACCCAGCTCAACGTGGGACCTGATCCTACCAAGCCATTACTCATGATCCCCTGTAGCAGGATCTCTTGCATGACTTTTGGTGAGCAAGTACATAAGTCACTGCAGTAGTGCTATTCCACATGCTGCACAAAGTAGCTGAGGCAATTAGCATGCTTAGCCCCAATATGCTCACTGCCTGCTTCTGTCTATGGAATATGGGAAGGGCCAGGCAGTCCACATGGTGATTGCTCAGAGGCATATTCACTAGTGACTTTTGCTGGTGAGGTACCCCTCATGGCAAGACTTTTACTGGATAACAGGAGTTTTGACTGCACAGGACAGCTACAATTCCTCTACTATGTTGCAGAAAAGATGTCTCCTGTAATGTAGCTTTTTGGATCTGCGCTTGGGACATCTTTATTAGACTTTTTAAAGTAATTAATAAAGAAGAAAGTGATAATGATCTCACTGGAAATCATAAAATAACACCCCTGTTCTTTATTGCAATAGATGTGTCCTGAAAGCAGCAGAAATATCAGAGAGGTACAGTGTGCATCATACAACAACAAACCATTTATGGGTCGATTTTATGAGTGGGAACCTTTTGCAGAAGGTAAGAAGTCAAATCCATGTTATAGTTATTACATGACCTGCATTTTGGAAAGGGAAACATCTTTAACCCAGGAAATATCAACAGGTTTTAACTGTCCTTAAACCCTGTTGACCTTCCTCTCTTCATCCACTCTAGGTATATGTGACTGATAAAATCCTAACACCAATATTTCCCAATTACCTCCTTAGTTAGTACAACCAGAGGGGACTGTTTTTAACTTCTGTATCTTCTCTTCTGCTTTCTTACATTTGGGGGCTATGCCCTCAACTGGTGTAAACAGAGTGTCGTGCCATTTAAGTAAATGGAGCTAAACAATTTTACATCAGATTAGCATCTTGCCCAGGGTTTTTACACATCCTACTCGAGATTCGTTGAATAGTCATAATGCATTCTCTTCCTATGGACATCCTCAGCAGTTGGGGTGGGCAATAGCAGAGGATAACTGTGATAGGAATTTGCCCAGCTGGGACTAGAACTGAACACCCTGGGATATAAAAGCATCAGCAGCTTACTAGTGGCTTGCCATTCCTAGTAGGAAGATGGTCCGGAGGTGAGGGGGGTTAGAACCCTTCTCTTCTAGAGACATTTTTGTTTTGAACTTTGAGGTTGAAATTATTTATTTATTCATCTTCATGTAAGCAATGGTTGGGTCCCCCCCTCAGGCAAGATCTGTGATATCGCTGTATAAATATTTATGGTGTATATAGAAATGTATTCTTCAAATATTTCTTTGTGGGCTGAGAGGAGGCTAGTTCATGTTATGCTTTATTAACTTTGTCAAAAAGGCGGTGAAGACATCAGCGGAACAAAGAGAACTCAAGCGCAGAGAAATATGTGCACTATCAGGGCAAGATCCTCCCTGCTGACTGCTGGGTAAAAGGGCTGGAGAGGCCTAAAAAGCCTTGTATCTGGCTGCAGGAGGATTTCTCAGGTTGCAGAGACTGTGGAGACCAGCAGGCTGCTTCTGAGGTACCGCTCATACGATCTGGTGTAGGTGGTGTCTCAGGGTTTGGACTGCACCACTATGGAGTTTCTAGACAGTGCTGTTGGCCCATTATGGTCTAGCTTCTGGAGCAGCTCCGGATTACAAGGGAGCAAAGGAGACTTAAAGTCATCACTGTCCCCCTTCCCACTGGGCTGTGATTTCTGTGCTGCACCTCTGAGTGTAGCAGAGACGGTCACCCTGAACTTTGAAAGTGAGGATGTTAAGAAGAGTTTGTTGATCCATCCATTTTCCTCTTTTAGTATTTCTGTTAAATCTTTACCTCAGGCCCCTCATTCTGGCTGTTCTCAGCTATAGAGAGCCCTGTATTATTCCTGTCACTTGGATTGTGGTAGCACTGCAAAACATGCAGCGAAGAGATGGACCCTGCCCTGAGAAACTCACAATCTAGGAAAGAGAATGTATCTGGATGATTTAATTAGATTTTTTTTTCTTACTAGCTGTGCTCCCTGCTTCTTCAACTGCCCCTTCTTCAGCATAAT